TCAATGTTACAATGGTTCTCGCCACGAAGAAAGCGGAAGTATCCTCCTAAAACAGATGCGCTAAGATTTACATAGAACTATAGCACCAACTTCTAAAAATTAGTTTTGTTACCTTTTTCTCCCCAATCTTCCGACCAAGAGTTTGCCCCAAGCCAAAACTTTGTTCCATTTTCAATACCCCAGCCTAGAAGCTTGATAGCGTGACCACCTCTGTTTTCACCTGCCTTATGCTAAAATTGGAGTACTTTAGTGTTTTGAGTGAAATTTTCACCTTCGCTGCTTTGGAGATCTATGTATATGAATTTTCAGAAAATTCAAAATTTGTACATGTGACATCTTATGAAAGTCTTCGTCAGTTATTTTCGACTTAAATCTTTTTCATTCGATTTTCAGTCACAGTCGCTCATTTCTTTAAAAGATGTATCCTTACTTTGTAGATTCCACCTGTGTATAAACCAAAGTCGTCGTAGATGATGATGCTGGCTTGAACAGGTCCATTCTTGAATATTTCTTTTTTAATTTCTTCTTCGTCCTTTTTAAGGACATACGCATCAGATCCTATAATTATTTACAAATAGCTACTGGAGCAAAATAAGTATGGAGGAAGGGTGAATTATGCTGTAAGTTTTGAACTCTATTTAGTTATCATATCTTTTAAAGAATCGTAAGAGCCATATCTTGCTAAAGAAAGTACCGTAATATTTGTCTTGCAAATATGGGATAGGATATCCATTTTGACAGAAGTTTTCACATCTGGGTGTACGCCACGTTTCTCCTGGGCATTCTCCGTAGTAGATCTGGCCCCCGTGCATACCACACGGATGGAGAACGTACGGTTTACAAGCACCCTTCAAATACGACTTTAAGCTTGATCAAAAGAAATGGAAGTTAGAAATTAGAAACTTTATTTGGTTGCTGCTTGCCTTTTCTCTGTATCGTCCACCTGTTACAATACCGTTGCGCATTATGTATTGCCACGCCCTAATGGTATAGCCTCCATTGCATCTTAAACAATTCTACACTTCAGGTCTGGAAGGTGATCAGAAAATCACATAACAAATTAGATGATTGAAAGGAGATAAACTCCAATCTTCTTTTGCTTGCTTCATGTTTAAGACGGTAGAATGTGCAAACGCAAACATTACGCTGTACAACTCTGTCCTCCGCATTGAAAATTAGGCTTGAAAGGGATCTAGTTGACGTTCTAGTAATACATTATATAGCGACCCTTTTCGTCACAAAATCATCCTTGCGCC